GCCCGTGCTTTACGTCTGCTGCATCCGCGGTATCGAAACCAGCGGCAAGGTCTGAGCAGCACCGCCATCCGATGACGGATTGCTTCTCATTTGGATTCCATCCGGTTTTTCAAGGAAGCTTTGTGAATTTTCTTCTCCAGGCTGTGTACATCACCTCCACTCTGCCATACGTGGTTCTGACTATCTTCCTGATCAGAGGACTCACTCTGAAGGGTTCCGTGGCAGGAATAAAGTTCCTTTTCACACCAGATGTAAGCATCACCCCGCCCCTGCCCCTTTTAATATTTTCTTCATTTTTTTTAATGTTTATAGTTCTCCTAATATATATAATATCAAGTTGATTCATAGCTATTGATTTTGAGCTACTCTGTATTAATTCTCAAACGCACACCGTGAAAAGAACAGTGCGATCGGATGGCTCCTTTGAGTACCGAACCGTTGAGCACAGTGTCAAGTCACTCCGGTCTCTGTTAAGTGACCCCGTGAAGAGCAAAAACAAAATTATACGATCCGATGCCATATAATACTGCAATAGCACTCCGCTATTTCTGCCCTTGCTGCGAGCGTCAGCACATTCTCACAAGGCCGGATTAATAATCCTCGTCATAAAATGAAGACCGCCCGGATATAAACGTGCTTCTGTTGTTATGTTGGCAAGAAACACATTTTTATTGAGCGATTATCTTTTATGATTCTCACACAAAAGGGGGACTTCATTTGATGCGTGTCATATCAAAGAGTAACGTCTTGCCACGCGGTCTCGCCATGTCATAAAGACGAGCACATTTTGGCGCACGGGGAAGGAGCGTTGATCATTTTAGATCACGCGATTCGATTCGATTTATGGAAGGTTTTCTGATCAAAGGTGAATGAGTTGATGAATCCGGCGACGTGGTTGGACGCCGGCGCGCAGGTTTTCTACTCCTTCAGCTTGGCGTTTGGAGGTCTCATCTCCTTCTCGAGTTACAACTCTGTCCAGTGAGTAAACCACCCAGTAGACCTGAACACCGTCCGCACTTTGGACGACCTTGTTGACCTCCTCTTTCCCGCGTGCGACGGGCAGCAACAACTGCGAGCAGGATGCCGTCCTCATCTCCATCATCAACGGCTGCACGTCAGTGTACTCAGCCACCGTCATCTACTCCATCATTGGCTTCAGAGCCACCGAAAAATACGACGACTGCATCGGAGGGTGCGTATGGATGTCGTGAGTGGCAATTTCGGGCATGCGCAACACGGGAGGCAAATGTTCAGCTCATGCGCATGCCCAAAATTCAGATTTCCCCAAAATTCAACATTTTCTCAAATAAAGTTCCCACCCAAAAAAAAAATCGTGATTCATTCTCACATCCAACACTTCAACATATAAAAAAGATAACATAAGATCCACGTGAGTGCTTCCATTTGTGGCTTTGGATGTCGCATGCTAGTTCGAGGTATTCTTTGTCTTTACGCAGCAACATCCTGAAGCTGATGAACGCCTTCGACTTACCCGAGAACAACATCACAGAAAGCAACTACAATGACATGCTTCTGTACCTCAACCAAACCAGTCCAGAAGTTGTGCAAGATTTGCAAATACAGCAGTGTGACATGCAGTTCTTCCTCAGTCAGGTCTGCCAAAAACCTTTGCGGACATTCCACTGCGACGCGCCGCGCGTGTGCGTGCGTGTGTGGTAACGTTTGGCGCCATTTTTCCACAGGGGGTGGAGGGAACAGGTTTGGCTTTCATTGTCTTCACAGAGGCCATCATAAAGATGCCCGTTTCTCCAATCTGGGCCGTGCTCTTCTTCATCATGCTCTTCTGCCTCGGTCTGTCGACTATGTTTGGAAACGTGGAGGGAGTTGTGGTACCACTGCAGGATCTGAAAGTGTTGCCCAAAAACTGGCCCAAAGAGCTCGTCTGTGGTAATGCTCACTCTTTTCTTCATTCTAGACGATCGCAGGACACCGAAATGATGATTCTGCCGGTCACTATGCGCGACTGGCATAGATTGATGAACAAATATACAGTACATGAATTGACAAACAAGTTGTCCGCATGTATGGAATACTTGACGTGTGAACAAAACCGAGTCTTTGTCGTTGCTTTCAGGTTTGTCCTGCGCAATCCCTTTTGCCTTTGGCCTCATTTTCGCCATGCGCTCCGGCAACTACTGGTTGGCTCTTTTTGACAACTTTGCTGGTTCCATTCCTCTTCTGGTCATCGGGCTCTGTGAGATGGTCGCTGTTGTCTACATTTATGGCATCGATAGGTACGTCCCGACAGGAAGATATTGCTCCATTTGCTTTCCTCATATGTTGTATGAAAGCTGCGGGGGGGAATGCAGCGGGTATAAAAAAAAGTCTACACACGCCTATTCAAATGGCAGTTGTCTTCCATCCGTTTTCGGAGCCGCTTCTCCTCACGAGGGCGATGCTGGAGCCCAGCCCGGCCGTCTTCTGGCAGTCGTTGGGGTACACCCTGAACTGGTTGCCAACCAATGTAGGGTAGACTTTTTTTTGTAGCCGTTGTGTGAATGAAATGTTTTCTCAAATTTTTTTTTTTGGCGGGGTTGGGGGGGCAATTCACTATATCTCTCCAAATCAAAAGTCTTTTTCCACCATTGTTTAAGACCCCGGTAAAGATGAGAGAAGATTGTCAAAATGTCAATTAAAAAAAAAAAAAAAAAAAGTCTCATTGGCTTTAAAACACAATTTGGCCAGGGTGTGACTCAGGTTCGATCCTTTGCTGTTCTTTCTCATGTTTACAGCCCTCTCTCATCCTCAACGTTGTCTTTATCTCATCCGGGAACCGTGTTATACAACCGCTTATCATAGGCGCTATGCTTAAATGACATCAGTACATCTTCTGATTGCTTCCTCGTAGGTTTAACAAAGATATCGAGTTCATGATCGGCCACAAGCCCAACATCTTCTGGCAAGTGACCTGGAGGCTGGTCAGCCCGCTCATCATGGTCATCATCCTGGTGTTTTACTTGGTCACGCAGGTCACAAAGTCCCTCACGTATTTGGCCTGGAACCCAGAGTCGGTAAGCGTCACTCGCGGCAGACCGTTGTCGGAGTTGCTTTTGCGCCCTGTGTCTGATCGCGGCGTTTCCCTGTTCCGTCTGGCTTCACAGGCGAAATTTCCCATCCTCGAAGAGCGTCCGTACCCGAACTGGATCTCCATTCTTGTTTTCCTCCTGGCGGGCGTTCCCAGTTTAATCATCCCGGCCGTGGCCCTTTTCAAATTCTTGCGGACGAGGTGCTGCAAGCGGAGGGATGACAGTGGCGACACAGTCAAGACCATTTCTGCCCAACTTGAGATATATGATAAAATTAAGTATTAGTTCAGGGGGGTTCTTTATTATTATTATTTTTTTTTTTTACAAAACCAAATCTCTTAATACTGTTGATAGGGATTTTTTTTTTTTTTTTTAGCCATCATGTAAATTTCCATTTCAACCTGCATTTGTGTTGTTGATAGTGCTGCTGCATTATTATATTATTTAATATCCCATGTATATTACCTTCAATGCCTGTGTAATGTCAAGTTATTATTTGAATAAATGTGTAAATAATCGCAATTTTAACACTGGAAGATCAATAAAACATTTGTATCATATTATTTGGTATTTTATGTGTGTGTGTCGAGCTGCCAACAGAAGTTAAATCTGTTTTAGATTTTGGTTAAAACCGGTTTTGCCGATAGCGATGATTAAGGTCTTTTATAGCAAGTCTAAAATCATTTTTTTCCCCCCCAAACCTTCGTAAACTCCTTTCTATTTCTTTACTTTGCTTTTAAATGTTGAAAATTTTACAGAGGTTCCCGGGTCTTGCTAATCCCGCCTGCTTTCGATGTCTCCCTTCTTCAACGCGCGTGATTCAAGTGATCAGCTCATCAGCGAGCTCCGCAGGAGCCTGATAACGGTCCTGACCATTTGAATCACGTATGTTGGAGGAGAGAGACATCTGAAACAGGATGGATCGGGCATCTTGAGGACCGGACTTGGGCACCCCTCTTTGTAGATGCTTATAATTGTTGTATTGTTTAGTATGTGAAGCAAATTAAGTTAGCTTGTGTATCAAATACGCGATATCAATAAATCAGCCTTGCCTTGGCTGGTGTCCGCACGTGCCAAATTTAGAAACGGTCCCGCTTCCTCTTCCTTCCATCGTGATCTCTTGTTGAACATGTTGAGACTGAGCCAGTCAATATTTCTAACATGAATGTTTATAGGCCTCGGGATTTAAATGTCTTTTTTTTTTCTCCCCCCTTCAAAATAATCCAAATAGATTTATAGCATTGTGGAAAAGGGCTCTTCAAATAGTATTAGAGCATTCAATTATGGGTATAAAAGGGTAAAAGTGCAGAGTGCATTAGCTAATCTTTCTCCACAAAAGATCATAAAGTGATTTCGACATTGCTGATTTGGGCTTTGAACATATTGGTACATGCGTGCTAATAAACGCCCATTTCAGCACTTCATCTGCCGGCTGCAGACGACTCCTCCGCTTCGGTCGGTGGACGCCATGAGACTGACTCTTCCAAACCCGGGACTGGATCTGCGGATCTCCTGCCATGAAGATCTCGACAGGATGGAGAAAGAAGAAGCCGATAGCAGGCCGAAATGGGACAACAAAGCTCAGTACATCCTGACCTGCGTGGGCTTTTGCATCGGCCTCGGCAACGTCTGGCGATTCCCCTACTTGTGTCAAAGCCATGGAGGAGGTAAGATGAGGACAATCATTTGAAAAGAGATCCATGAGAGCTTAAATGGTGAAGAATTGGACATCTTAAGGAGGGTCAAAGTCTCCAACTTTGACTCAAAAATTGTCTCGTCACTTTCATTAAAAGTCACTTGCTGTCCTTTGTGCCAGAGGTCAAACGACGAGTTGAATACATAACCCGACCACGACAGCTGGAGTGTAAAATTGTCGAGTTTCGTTAATCATTGTGGGAGTGGAAGCTCCCCCCGAAGAATCCTCGGGCGGTACATCGTATAGACCGTATAGAGTGAAGATTACATAAGAGATGATGTGACTGTTTATCTTGCCCAGTTTAATGGCATTTTGGAGCCAAAACACATAAAATGCATGTCCTACAAACAGCGGCCTCTTTCACAATGATCTTCCTGTCCTATTTCACAAGTCATAACTTTTAATGTGCACACTCAGGACACCGACCTGCCCCAATTCCGTGACTTCTTGAAACTATAACGTAACTTTGTCTTCGAAAGGTTAAGCGATATTGCAAGGCACTACCAAGAAAGTGACACGTCAACCTGAATAAATAAATACCACCTACCAGCCCCCCAAAAATACAAGGAAGGGCAAGATATTAGGTACAGCTGCATTTTGAGCTTGCATATTCTGCGTTTGTAGGTTATGAGAAGTGCAAATGTTCTTATTGTGTGTTTTCATACAGTACAGCTGCGTGCAATTTCTCTTCAGAAAAAAAAAAACACATTTGTGTATATTTGGGGGGAGAGCTGGAACAGATTAATTGCATTTCCATTCATCTCAATAGAGAATTATGATTTGACATGCGAGTGTGGTCTCTGAGATCATTACATTTGTATCTCAAGGTACCACGATAATTGTTTTTAATTCCATGTCCATAGCCATGGTGCCAATTACTTTAATTATTATTTGTACCGTCATCATCATCATCATAAATAAGCAAAAATAATGTCACCTTCACCAACAGCAAGCTCATGCTACCGGGACGTAAAGTCAATCCAAAGGAAATGAAGTGCTTCTAACATTTTGCAGGATTTCTTATGATCTCATGAAAACATGAATTGAATCTGTCGATGCAAGTTTTGTCGGGTTTTTTTTTTTCCTGATGAAAAAACACCCAACGTGTCATTTTCCAGGAGCTTTTTTGATCCCCTACCTGCTCCTGCTGGTGTTGGAAGGAATGCCCCTCCTGTTGCTGGAATTTGCCATTGGCCAGCGTCTCCGCAAAGGCAGCGTGGGAGTGTGGCGCGCCATCAGTCCTTACCTGACTGGCCTGGGTACATTGAATGGAGAAAACAAAGAAAAAAAAAAGACCACGCAATTCTTTAATGATGTTTTTTTTGTTTGTTTGTTTTGTGTTTTTCCAGGGATTGCCTCCATGCTGGTGTCCTTTTTAGTTGCTCTGTATTACAACGCTTTGATAGCCTGGGTCATGTGGTACCTTTTTAATTCCTTCCAGAGCCCACTGCCTTGGACCCAGTGTCCTCTCAATGAGAACGCGACAGGTACTTCAGAAGAGTTTTACAACCACAACATTGCATTCGTGCTTATCAGTTGTGGGCAGTGACCGCAACGGACAGCGGTCCCCCAACTGACAAATGACCCAATTTACGACTTTTTCGAGATCCAAGCCACTCAGTCAAAGTTTTTTGAGTTGCTTGTTTTCCATGGTGGCGCTGAACTTTGCAGCAAGCAGCACATCGGCCGCCCGTGAGCAATTTCTAAACAAGAGGCCCAAGCGCTTGCTTCAAGTTGTTGATCGCCATCTTCAGTTGTGATGTACTGTCAAACGAAACAAAAAAAAACAAAAAGAAACGACACGCTGCTTATTTCACCGAGCGACACTGACAAGACCACCAGCTTAATGCTAACAAATAATAGGAAAGACAATTGACAAGGTAACGAAAATGACACTGATATTGGACTCGTTTGAAACCTTTCAACAACTTCGGTGCGTTTCATTATAAATGGTGAAACTGTTCGCAACACAATGCGCGGCCCGCCACTGATGTTTACGGACCGTATACTTGCTCAGGTTTTGTAGCCGAATGCCAAGAGAGCTCCACCGTGGACTATTTTTTCTACCGGGTGACCCTCAACAGCTCAAGCTCCATTTCGGACTCTGGGGGCCTCCACTGGCCCATCGTGGTGTGCCTTTGCGCCGCATGGACCGTTGTCTGCATTTGCTGCATCAGGGGGATAAGCAGCTCAGGCAAGGTGCGTTGCCATTGATTGACGAGACACCTTTAGCGTGTCAACTATGGACGAGCTGTTTGAACGTGTTGCTGTCGTTGCTTTGAGCGCAGGCTGTGTACATCACAGCCATCCTGCCGTACATCGTGTTGGCCATATTCCTGGTGCGAGGACTCACCGTCAAAGGCTCCTTTAGCGGTATTCAGTTTCTCTTCACCCCAAAGGTATTGTAAAATGTCACAAACAACAAAGGCCATTCGGATATTTGCACAATACCTCGCTTGTTCAGAATCCAATGTATCCATTGAAACGTCTTCCAAGTGGATCCCAACACAGCGTGGCGATGTCACGGTTTTTGTTACAGTTGGAGGAATTGATTAACCCGTCAACTTGGCTGGATGCGGGGGCTCAGGTCTTCTACTCGTTTGGTCTGGCGTGGGGTGGCCTCATCTCTTTCTCCAGCTACAATCCCGTTCAGTGAGGGTCTTTTGTAGCATCCCCACGTACTGTATGAGAGCAACGCTTGTGGAAATGACGACGGTGCTTGTTTCTCTTCCCTCAGTAACAATTGCGTGCAAGATGCTGTCATCCTGACCGTCGTGACGGGCCTGACTTCAGTGTATGCTGCCACGGTTACGTATTCCATCATTGGCTTCAGGGCCACTGAGAAATATGACCTGTGTTTTAATGAGTGAGTACACTTCCTTGTTTTTTTTTCTTCTTTTTTTAGGATACGTCGGATTGTATTATTTATTTGACAGGTTTTTCATCTTTCAAATCGATTGAAAGGTTGAGCAATTCCCTTGTCACAAAGTTACATGTCAAGCACCAATGCCAGAAAGCCACCACCGATGGCGGTCGTAGGTTGCGGCGCATCGAGCATCCCCCTGTTTTAATTCTCGCTCGATATTTCTTCCCCAGTAACATCATGTCATTAATAAATGGATTCAATCTTCCGGAGGACAGCATCACTCCAAGCACTTTCGACTCGGCATTACAACATCTCAACAGCTCCGATCCCGAGGCTGTTCTGGCGCTGGACCTTAAAACCTGCGACTTGCAAAAACTCCTCAGTGAGGTAAAGGTGTCGCATTGGTTGTGGAGTGTTGTTTTCGACATGTGACTAACGTGTATCGTGTATCCAGGGAGTGGAGGGAACAGGTCTGGCATTTATTGTTTTCACAGAGGCCATCACCAAGATGCCCGCTTCGCCCGTCTGGTCTGTTCTCTTCTTCATCATGCTCGTCTGCTTGGGGCTTTCCACCCTCTTTGGCAACATTGAGGGAGTGGTGGTCCCCTTGAGAGACTTGGGTTTTTTCCCCAAAAAATGGCCCCACGAAGCCCTGACTGGTACGTCTCTCAGAATAATGAGCAAAACTCGGAGCCGCTAAACTGACTGGTTCACGGATTTCACCTATCGCGGGTTCGTTTTTGATCGTCACGAGGGTTCACTGTCATTAAAATCGCCTTGAATCTGGGGAAGCAACAAAGGCAAGAATGGCGCTGGGAGGTTCTAGGCTCTAAGCGGACACTTTTGCATCTTCATGAGGATGTAACATTGCGATGCTGTGATGCGTTTTTGTGTTTCAGTGATCACCTGTCTCAGTGCCTTTGTCATCACCCTCCTCTTCGCTTTGCATTCTGGGATTTATTGGCTGACGCTTTTCGACAAGTTTGCCGGATCGATTCCGCTTCTGACTATCGGATTCTTTGAACTCGTTTCTGTTGTTTATATCTACGGCATCGACAGGTAAACGCGACAATGATGATCAGGTTCGCCCGCTTGCGGCGAGCGTTTGAGAACTATATCCAAACGCTTCTGTGTCTCAGGTTCAACGAGGACGTGGAGTTCATGACGGGACGCAGGCCTTCCATCTTCTGGCAGGTTACGTGGAGGTTCATCAGTCCTCTCATCGTCCTGGTCATTTTGATTTTCTACCTGATAACCCAAGCCCGAGAAGAGCTCACCTATTTAGTCTGGGATCCCACTTCTGTAAGCGCTTCACGGATTGTTACACATGGGCGGGTTCAACGTTGGACAAAAAGCCTCATGATTGTATTTTCTCAACAGGAAGCCTTCCCGTCATTGTCATCGGAAGCATATCCTGCATGGATCAATGGAATGATTTTCCTGTTAGCAGGGGTTCCTACTGTGATTGTGCCCATGTATGCGTTGTGTAGGTTTATCTATGTGTGCTTCAGGCAGCGAGTAGGTTGAACAAGACGGAATATCGTTGGTATTGTGTCATGGGCTTCCATGAAGGCGAATCTTCGGCGCGATAAGCGCAAAGTGCAACTTTACCATGCACGCTATTTAATTAAGTACATTGCAAGATGTTTCAACTGACTTTGGCAATTGCCCGTCTCTTAATATTTGTTCACAGGCAACAGGATACCGTGTGACAAAAAAAAAGAAAAATGTTTGGGGTGATACCACAAACAGTTTAGTTGTTTTTTTTTCTGATTTTCTTAAAAAAAATATGTCTATTTACGGTATATCTAAATTCATCTTTCTTTAAGTGTCCAAATAGTGTAAACTGATATTGGATTTACACAACAGCAGCCACCGGGTGGCAGTCTAAACCAGGGGTCATCAACGTTTTGGGAACTGAGCCACTTCTTGGTCACTGATTCATGCAAAGCACAACCAGTTTAAGGCACACACTTGACAAGAAAACACATTTGCCAAAATGACCTGTCATTTTGGTTATTATTTGTAATGAAAAATATTCATGTATGTGGCGACATTGAGTGATTTGTCCCGATAATTTTCAGTGACGGTTCGACTGTCCAACGCTTTATTTCTGTCAATATCTGCGAGCGTTTAATATTTTCAAATGATCACCTCTTCAACATTACGGGTAAATCACAATGTCCCTTCACCAGTGAGGGCTACTTAGGTCCCGATCGCTTACCGATCGCTGCTGTAAGATCACCTGTATCAGCTTTTCGAATAATCACAGCTTCTCATCAGACCTGAGAGAGAAATGCAGCCGAGTTTTTTTATGACATGCTCACAAAATAAAAATGTCACAAAAGACAATATCCTCATGGTAACAACATCTCTGGATCCACGTGCATC